AATATTACTGAACGGGAGTCTAAGGCCTGCTTTGCTGGATTTACTGTCTTTCAAATCTTTGTCCAACATTGAAGTTCATGTGATGACTACTTAAGAACCCAAAACCAAACTGTTTTGTTGCTTTTGTTGGAACTTGTTTTCTGTTGCTGTTGTTTTTGTTTTATTACATCAACACTGTTTAAATATAAATTCGAATTAAAACTTCTACCATCTCACTGACATAATGTCTTTATTTTGTAATAACAGGACCAGAAGGATCCTATTGTGACAGCAGGTCCCTCTGCAAGTACAAACCCGCTTTTAAATAGATCACTTACATTATACAATCAATTAGGCAAGAGGGTAATATTGGCCTACAGTGTCTATTGGCACTACATTTTATGTACTGTAAATTTATTATTTATTATATTATTTATATTTTACTTTTTGGCATTTAAGTTTAAGTTAAAATAACGTGTTAGCACAAGCATTTTTCTTGATGATTTTACATATACACAAGGTCGTCATTTTGTGTTGAAAAGTGGTGGGGACATTTAAGGGCTCAGATTAGGGGTTTGATAAAACACTTAGGCCATGAGACGTGATGATGCACAATTTTGGGGTCACGAGAATAAGACAAGAAGATTAAAACAATTTAGGAGAAATATTCATTGATTGATCTGAAATCAGAATTAGAAATATTTTATTGATCCCCGAGGGGAAATTCTGTGTCACAGTTGCACACATTGCACGTCAAGGCAAAGGAATAGAAATAGAAATAGAAAGTTGGTATAGTAAGAAGTATATGATTGGGGGTCTGGGGTTGTAATTGGAGGCATTAAAAACTTAGTTTCCTGCATTCTGGAGACCTTTTCTGCACCGATTTATGTCAGAAATGTCTTTATTTATATAAGGGGAAGCACAAAATTCTTCTATATACTTCTATATTTACATTAAATTGAAATTCTAATATAATTCCTGTTGTGCAAATAAACCTTTCTTCTAGCATTTTAATTTGTTATTTAACACTTCTTGTTGCATGCAATTTTTCAGAACATTTTTTACAAATGCATTAAAGTAATGGGGACAACATCAGCCCTTTCAAAAAGTGGTGGGGACATGTTCCCGGCGTCCCAAGTGTAAGTGACACCTATGCATATACATATAGTGTGTTTACAGATCACTGAGAGCAGAAGCACGTGACTTAAGGAGAAAGCAAAAGCAGAGATATTGTTGAAAATCTGCTTGTATCTCCATGTATGTTAGGTGCATGTGGGGAAGAAGTCAAACACAGTCAGCACAGTTACATTAATTAACTGTAGTAGCTTTTCTTTTTTTTTAATCTTTTGAATTCAATTTGTTCATTCTGTTTCATATTTCCTCACCTCTACTGCAGAGCAATGGTTATGTTTTCCCCATGTACTCTGATGTTTTAAACAATACATATTTAAGAGTATCACATGAAATGTTGTGTATATTCATAACAAACGACAGCAGAGCTAGGAAAGATATGCCAAACATGGTAAAATACAGAACATATGTGCAATATGACCAGGGCAAAGTGGAAAGTTTGAGTAAAGTAAATTTATCTGAGCACTTTTCTTACTCAGTTGTTCAGTGTTTATTTTCATTATAGTGGAAAACCACATTGCTCTCTCTGCTTTGCTTGTTCAGACATCTGAAGATGCTGTTTATAAGAACAGAGCTGCGGCAGATTTTAAATAGATTCATTGTGGTCAACTGCTAACATGATGCTGTCAAAGCAGCAGACATACTAAGTGTTTGACCTGTATTTGATATGTTGTTACTTCTGTCGTGTCATATAATTGTAGTTAACCAATAACACCATGAATGTAGCCTACATGGGAAATGTACAAGTTATGATCAATATGGTGGATAATAGGAGATCAATGCAGCTGTTATTATGGTACACGGGTTATGATTTATTTGTGTTTGTTTGTTCATTGTTCAAAAGATCTTAACACATATATAAGTTCAGTTTATTATTAATTAAAATTGTACTCAACACACACTCACATGCTTTGTGCAAAAATTATGTATGATCAATATGTTAAAAGTCATGATGATTTAGTTTCCTTTACTTTGTATTTATTTGTGTAAAGGTTGGTTGGTATATCATATCTGAATATAAATCAGGAACATCTGAACACACTACATTGTGAATGGATGCTTTTAAAACAGTGATCATTAATTGGTTAAGTAAATTACCTCATGTAGTGTGCGGACAAAGTTTTAGGAAGTTCCCATTCAGAGTCATGTTTGAGGTTTGAAGAGCATTTGGCCCAAAGTAGATTCTACGATATTAAGGTGAAACATTGCAAAATGGTACAAATACATTTACAAGTGTTTTGTTATGGGGAATGCGAACCTCTTAAAGCTTTTCAAATAAATTCCAATTTTACATAATTTGCTTCCAAAGCTTGTCTCTCCGTCTGGCTGAAGCTAAACACAGAAATTAGTCCCCTGTATTATGCTATTAATGTAGCTACATGCACAGAGTCTTCTTCCAGGGCAACTTTGGTAACTAAGCAAATGCTTGGTGTTAGTTTGTTGCACATTTGTGAGAGTTACTACTTTGCTTTTGGGTTGCAGTTAAGTTTATGTTCTGACAACCTGTGATATAAGACCTTTATCAGAGAAGCTCTTTGTCAGAGACTCAAACCTTCTAGTGTTTCAGTCACCAGAAATAAGCTGCACAGGAAGAGGAAGTTCTCACTTACAATACATTCATCTGTCATTCAGTTGCTGCTTAGACGGACAGCATGGAGGTTACCGCTCTCTGCGTCAGACTGTGTGAGTACTGAATTGTCTTTAAAACATCATTAAAATAGCACCATCTACTCTTATTCTAATACACAACTCTTCCCTTATTTTCTCTGCATCTCCAGTAATAAATGTATTGATTATTCTGGTTGCAGAAGATCAGCACTGTGCTGAGAAAGCTCGTAAGTAGCAGTTAATTATTTCCATATCAAGTTAATCTAACCTCTCATTTGCAATCGCTTCTTTTTAACTTTTAACTGTGAAAAGAGTATATTTAAGTGATGATATCACAGTGTGTCTCTTTTATGCTTTGCTTTGTAAAATGTATGTCTGCATGAACAGTAAAAATAAATAAATAAAAAAGGACAAATGCCTACTGTTGTCAGTGTATACTTAAAAGGTGAAGACAATGCTCTCAACCCAGCCCAACAAAACACTTAAATTTGTTGAGTTCAAATCAAGCGTGTTTGTTAAAGCTGCAGGTGTGAACGTAACAGTCTTGATTTTGTGACTTTAAATCATTTTTTCCACAAAAGCAAATGTTTTACTGACAACATAACACAAAAAATATTTATTTGAAATTATTAAAATAAAAAAATCACTTTCTCTCCGTCTCATTCTCAGACGCAGCTTTTCTTCATATTGTTCCAAACAGGCTCCAGCTCTTTGAATATGAATCAATCTCTTTTGATTGTGAGGGATTTGATGATTTCACCGAGTGGAGAGTGATGAGGAGGTTCATGGGAGTCAACACAATATGTGGCCGTTATCAGGAGATATCAAGGGGACCCTGTGTAATTAAAGATGCCTTTGCATCAGACAGTGGAGAATATTGGTGTGAAGCTAAAGGAACGGAGAGAAGCAACTCTGTCATCATCAATGTTACTGGTGTGTCAAAAACAAATAAATATCAATTTAAGAGAGTGAGCTTAAAGAGATTCTATTGATACAGTAATATCAGCAGGTGGACACAAACATGTCCACATTAATGATTATGTTTCTCCATGACTGCAGGGGGTGCAATAGAAAGCAAATACTTTCATATTTTCTTAAGAACATTGTTGTAAACTTGTAGGACATTGGTCCCTCTAGTGAGCAACAATTGATCAAGAGTCCTTTGAGTTAATTGTTATGAACTTATAAAATTAAATAATAATAATGTTTTAAGAGCTTGTCAAGCATTTAGTTGACACCTATTACTAAGTGAATTAATGTTATTGGTAAAGTATTTGTATAGTGCTCCTCAACAGACAAAAATGTTTTTGTAACCTTTGTTGTTAGCTGGTCCTGTGATCCTGGAGAGTCCTGCTCTTCCTGTGATGGAGGGAGAAGATGTGACTCTGAGCTGCAGGAACAAGACAACATCCTCTGTCCATATAGCTGATTTCTATAAAGATGGCATCCTAACACAGACTGGCTATAAAGGAATCATGACCATCCACAATGTTTCTAAATCTGATGAAGGACTCTACAAGTGTAATATCATTGGTGTTGGAGAATCAGCAGAGAGCTGGATGGCTGTCGGAGGTGAGGCTCAACAAACACCCTGACTGATACACCATATTGACTTGTATTTTTGATGCCTTAATTCAAAACACTTTTGCTGCAGATGAACCACAAAAATCACAGACTCACCAGAACCTCTTCACCCGGTGGGTCTTTGTGGCCATGCTGTTGGTGGCTCTGCTGCCGCTGCTTGTGGTGGGACTGTGTCTTTGTAGAAAACACAGAGGTAATGTGTTGAGAAACAGAAGGAAATCCTTGAGTGAATACCAGATCCAACAGATATTGTATATGTACTGTGAACTGCTTTCCAGGTTTTCAGGTGTTTTCTTTTTTGTACTGTAGGGTCGGTCTGCATTTCCTCAAAGACGTCACAGCCAAGATTACACTCAGGTGAAACAGAAACAGGTAAAGAGCATAAAACATACATACTTACATACATACATTTTTATTATTATGGAAGTTATCCTAGGTAAGTTAAATAGTGCCATCCATGCCACTTACCTGATGATCTCTACCACGCCCCTGGTGGCTACTTGTATATACTGCGACAAGATCGATAACCTCAATCCTCTGGGTGGAGAGTTTTGTTTGTTTGGTTTTTTTTATCAGTAGAGGAGCTTTGATGAATTTGATTCCTCTAGTCAGCCAGTTGTTTTGATCGATACACTTATTAAGCCAAGATAATTGTTATGGGACAGAAAATGATTGTCAGGCACCTAATGATGGTCCACTTATGTTTCTTTTGTAATTTAATGTAAGACTTAATGTGTCACTTGATAAAAGGAAATTCCGTCACTTCATGCATTTGTGTAAATACTTCTCTGACTAATGTGTTTAAACAAGTTTTACATCCAAATGTAATACAGAATAACCGCTCGTTTTGTTTCTGTTTATTCTGTGTTTCTTTCAGTGTCTGGACTGACGAGTGTAGAAGCAAATTATTCTTGCATCACAGCAAACATGATTTGCACAGGTAATATACTTTATATGCACACATAATGCTGCATGTAAACTAATTAATTTTGTGAAACAGCTCAAAACTAAAAAGCTAAATCCCTTATTTGATTAGTTCACTATCTGCACGTCTCTGCTCTCAACAGCAGTTTTGAATAAATATTGCTTTGGTATGAAAAAGTCTCGATTTAAATTTAAACTATTTTCAAAGGTCAGCCTTATTTTTGAGTTTGAATGTGTTTGCATCAGGAGCCGGCAACATACAGCAGCTGCCGGCATCTTCTAATAGACAAACCAAAAAAATAAAAAACACAGCCAGAAAAAGACAGGGCCCTGTAGCAGAATCAGTGAATCACAAACCACAGCCCCACCCCCAGTGTACAAGAAAGGCCAACTGATTGTTACTGATCTCCTCTACTGTGAAACTAATGTTGTATCCACTGAGATAGAAAATAATTGAATGAAAGAATCTGTCTGCCAACAAGCTGAGGCATTTCACTTGTTTCCAAAGCAGAACCGGGCGCATCCAGCTGCACAGTGACGCCCGTCATCGACACGCCATCAGAAGGTACCAACCAAAGTACAACAGAATATGCCTTCTACTATACGATTGATTAGGTAAGAATGACAGTAATACTGGTCTCTAGTGCTCACCTACTCATCACACTTTATAGACCGCCTCTTGTGGCCCCCTAGTCGACCAGATAATTACAAGAACTCACCTCACAACATTTATATAACATACATGCCTGAATAATTGCAGCATAAAGACATAACATAGAAAAAAATGTACATAAGCCACCAATGTACAGATAGTCTTTCAGACTTGGACCAAGATTAACACACTACACTACCACACTAACTACAATAGCAGGAAAAGAAAAATGCACAGTTTCAAGAACAATTACAAGACTGACTGTGTTTAAACACGGTGATGTGCACTGGTACAGTCTATTGACGACAGTACAGTGTGAAACCGAGTAGTTCTTGTACTTTATATGAAAAATAACAAAAAAGGTTTACATTGATTACATAAATATTTATGTTAGATAAAATCAAACTTATGTTATTTTAAAATTTTCAATCCTGTGTGTCCTCCAGATCACAGAGAGCAGAGACATCTGACTGAAGGAGAGCTTTGCTTTGTGATGTAGCAGGTTATGAGAGTGACAAGTAGCTGTTTACATTGTGTTGTCTGTAGTATTTTGACTAAAACATTTTATTTTTTCATATACACTTTTGATAACATTAGTCAGAGTGTTGTATGTACACATGATAAAAAATTAAACTTGATTTTAAAAATGAGCTAGTCTGACTCTACAACTGTGTGGCATTTCTAAAAATGGACTGACATTATCATCAACCTTCACCTGAGGTCTTCATCAGTCTCACAGTATCGGAGTCTTATTTTAAAGAGCGAGCGGTTTGTGGAGTGTGACAGTTAAACCACATTGTTCTATCTGCTCTGCCTTTGCACACGTCTGAAAACGCTGTTTATGAGAACGGAGCTGCTGCAGCTTTTAAATAGACTCACTGTGGTTCTAACAACATGCTGATTCATTCAGACCTGCAGCTACTGTGTGACATCTGGTAATAACATCACATGAACTTATAAAACCATTAATGTAATAAGAATAAAACTGCCGAGAATGATGGCACAGAAACAAAATGTCACACTTCACACTACGGCCTTTTATATCAAGCAGTATTTTGATTTTAAGTTTGTTATCTAAAAATCACAATAAATTCTTTTAGCATGAGTTCCAACAACTGTTAAAGGGAACTCGCTGTAGTATTACGCTAACATAAAGTTAGACTTACAAGACATGTATTTAAAAATGCAATGGGCCAAGACATGCCTTTTAGTCCCCAGCATATGTCATGTGTCAAGAATCCTGGATCCTACATTTCCCATGATGCAACTCAAAAGTAACTTTTACTAGACCATCATTAGGTGCCTGTTACATGCTCATGTCTTTCACACACTGTTCAAATATGTAACACAGGCTTCCTGCTCAAGTCTCAAGCCCGACCCTAATATTAAGCCTGATGACACCTTAAGAGATATTTTTCTCAGACTTGAAAAAACCCCAGGGTCACAGACAACATTATATTATATTAAACATATCATATCATTTAGGAACTTTTATAGCTCCGACCTCTTGATGCCTCATTTTCTGGGTGAACTTTCATAAATATGCATCATTATTAAATAATTTTTTAAACACAAAAAAATTGCAACTTAATGCAAAAAAACCCTTCAAAATTAAACTCTGTAGTTAACTGGAAAATTGGTTTGATTGCAAATTTTAGAATGTGGTTGTACGTGTTGGTAGAGGCTTAAGAGTAAATCAGATAACTAAAAATAGAAAGGGCCTATCTAATACTCGTGTATAGTCTTAAAACGTACACAGGCATACAGTGGGGGAAATAAGTATTTGACCCCTTGCTGATTTTGCAGGTTTGCCCACTTACAAAGAATGCAACGATCTATAATTTTAATCAAATGTACATTCTAACAGTGAAAGACAGAATCCCAAAGAAAATTCCAGAAAATCACATCATATGAATTTATAAAAATTGATAACCATCTGATGAGGAAAAACAAGTATTTGACCCCCAACCAAACAGCAAGTATTCTGGCTCCTACAAGCCAGTTAGTCTTTCTTTAAGACACAGCCCCAATCCCAACCAATTATCTACATCAAATACACCTGCCTCACCTCGTTACCTGTATAAAAGACACCTGTCAACACCCAAACAACCAGCATCCAACATCACCACCATGGGCAAGACCAAAGAGCTTTCTACGGACATCAGGGACAAGATTGTTGATCTGCACAAGGCTGGGATGGGCTACAAGAGAATCGGAAAGCAACTTGGAGAGAAAAGATCAACTGTCGGTGCAGTTATCAGGAAATGGAAGAAGCACCACACCACCGCCAACCTCCCTCGGTCTGGGCCTCCACACAAGATCTCGCCTCGTGGGGTGTCCCTGATCATGCGAACGGTGAGGAATCATCCCAAAACCACAAGGGGGAACTGATGAATCAACTGAAGGCAGCTGGGACCACAGTTACAAAAGAAACGGTTGGTAACACACTACGCCGTCATGGATTGAAATCCTGCAGCGCACGCAAGGTCCCCCTGCTCAAGAAGAAACATGTACAGGCCCGCATGAAGTTCGCCATTCACCACCTGGACGACTCAGAAGAGGCCTGGAAGAAGGTGATGTGGTCAGATGAGACCAAAATAGAACTTTTTGGCCCCAACGCAACTCGTCGTGTTTGGAGGGCAAAGAACACCGAGTACAACCCAAAGAACACCATCCCCACCGTCAAGCATGGTGGTGGCAACATCATGCTTTGGGGGTGCTTTTCAGCCAAGGGGACGGGACAACTCCATCGTATTGAGGGGAGGATGGACGGGGCCATGTATCGTGGAATTCTGGACCAACATCTCCTTCCCTCAGTGAGAGAGCTGAAGATGGGTCGAGGATGGGTGTTTCAGCACGACAACGACCCTAAGCACACCGCCAAAGCAACAAAAGAGTGGCTGAAGAAGAAGCACATCAAGGTTCTGGAGTGGCCTAGCCAGTCTCCAGACCTGAATCCAATTGAAAATCTTTGGAGGGAGCTTAAAATTCGAGTTGCCAGGCGACAACCTCGGAACCTGAATGATTTGGAGGCTGTCTGCAGGGAGGAGTGGGCCAACATCCCTGCCGAAATGTGCACAAACCTTGTCACCAACTATAAAAACCGTTTGACATCTGTGCTGGTCAATAATGGCTTTTCTACAAAATATTAACATGCTGTTTGTCCAGGGGGTCAAATACTTGTTTTTCCTCATCAGATGGTTATCAATTTTTATAAATTCATATGATGTGATTTTCTGGAATTTTCTTTGGGATTCTGTCTTTCACTGTTAGAATGTACATATGATTAAAATTATAGATCGTTGCATTCTTTGTAAGTGGGCAAACCTGCAAAATCAGCAAGGGGTCAAATACTTATTTCCCCCACTGTATTAGCTACACAGGAAGAGGAGGTTCTTTCTCACCTACATTACACTTTAGCCGTCCTTCAGTCTGATGTTAAGACAGACAACAGGAAGACAACATGGAGGTCACAGCTCTCTACATACGACTGTGTGAGTACTGAGTTTGTCTCATATAACATTGATGATAGATGTGACATTACCATTGCTAGTGGAATGAATATTTATTATGTTTACTAGAAATAAAACACGTCTGATACTCCACTGCCTTCTTTCGTCTCTTCAGTGAACGTATTGATGCTGCTGGTTGCACAAGTTCACCTTAAATACGCTCAGGAAAGTGGTAAGAATCAGCTATAGTCATTTGTCTATAATGATACATATTCTTGATTTCTAAATAACTTTATCACTGTAGCTCATCTTTTTTAGCACCTAAAGTCAGAATATCTATTTTGTCCATCTCCCAATTAAATTGTCGTGTTAATATTTTTAAATACTTTAACAAAAAACGATCTGTATTTCTGTCTTACATGCAGCTTTTCCTCAGATTGTTTCAACCAGTCTGCAGCTCTTTGAATACAAATCCATCTCTTTTAACTGCGAGGGTTTTAAAAACGCAACTGGATTGACCGTCATGAGGAAGATAAAGGGAAAAGTCAGCGAGTGTGTCAGTACCTGGTTGACATCAACAGCATCCGTCTGTGCCATCAAACCGGCGTATCCAACAGACAGCGGAGAATACTGGTGCGAGACTGAAGAAGAGAGAAGCAACGCCGTCAACATCACTGTCACTGGTAACAGACACATTTATATGAGGGGAGGGAAGCTGATGGGAGTGTTTGAGAAAATCACTGTTGTATGTTGCAAAAAATGATTAGCAATAATTTTAAGTATACACAAACTGTAGTAAAACGGTAAAACAAACAAAAACATTAGCATTGTTTTTTAAATTACCCTGAAAACATTGTCATTATAAATAAATAATTGCAAATAAATTTATAAAGTATGCAGCAGGAAAAAAAGAATACTTTTGTATGTGACTCAGCTCAATCCAGGTTACAAGTGTGAGTTTGTATGTTTATTTATTGTTGCTCTTTTGCCTGTAAAAAGTTTTCTAATAGTGGGTTTTTTAATAGTGGGTTCTATGCTTATGCTTCACCACTGTGCCACAGTTTTAAATGGCTAATCATCAGTTTTAGGATAGACACATCAGCAAAATGTTTTATTTAACCTACTTCTAAAAATGTGTATGAAATTCTTTGTGTGTAGTTGGAGCTGTGATCCTGGAGAGTCCTCCTGTGCCTGTGATGGAGGGAGATGAAGTGACTCTGCGCTGTAGAAGTAAAATGACCTCCTCCGCTCACATAGCTGATTTCTATAAAGATGACATCTTTATTGGCTCAGGCTCCACAGGAGAGATGGTGATCCAGAGTGTTTCTAAATCTAACGAAGGACTTTACAAGTGCTGCATCTCTGACTTTGGAGAGTCACCTCAGAGCCGGCTGGCTGTAAGAGGTGAGACCTAACAGGGTTTCAAAAACAGTATTGTTTTTAGGGAAACATTGCATAGGCACTATTGTGTTAACACAACAAGCCTATACACAGTTTTAGTGCAGCAATCTAAATATTTTAGGCATAATTTAAAGTCATAATACACACAAAAAAGCACAACATAACAATAATCTATCTTCAATAAAACAAAAAAATATGTGTTAAAAAGTAAAAGCACTGAAACACGACATGTCTTAATGAGATACTTTTTTTTTCTGTCTTTGCAGCTGTTCACAGAGAGACTCGTCCCTCCTCAGATCACTCCTGTCATATTTACCTCATGTTAAGGACTGTTTTCACCATTGTGATGGTGGCTCTGCTGCTGCTGCTGGTGGGACTACTTCACTGTGGAAAACTTAAAGTTACACAAACATATGTATGCATATGTAAAATATGTAAAGGTGACTGCCAAACCAAACAAAACAAAAGGGTAGATGACAGAGAAAAGTGTGTATAGAGTTTACTAAAAGCTCATATGATACTCTAGAAAGAATCATAACCACTTGTAAACTTTTAAACATTCAAATTTAGTCAGATATGTCTCCCTCCTGAATGAGGAAACAAGGAAAGTGCAATTTAACAGTCTTTGCTGGGGTATTATTATTTTTCTGAGCTCAAGCTTAACTGTATATTGCTTCAGCAGCTTCTGTTCTGCTATTTGTAAATTTTATAATAACTTTGAGGAACACAAACACATGTTCATTTGATGAAGAGCTGGAGAAGTTTTCATGGTTCTGTACCTGTCTTACTAGTAAACATGCTTTATGTTGGTGTTTTTTAGACACGTATCTCTGAGGAGATTAGAAAATGTTCTACAGTTCTGTACCTGTCTTTCTTGTCACCACATATTATCAGACTTTGTCACAAGGAGAAAAGGTAACAAACCACAGAAGCATGACCTATTTACAACAGGAGTGATTTATATCTTGTTCTATGTTCTGTTTTAGACACTACATATGCTGGTGATAATTTAAGCTTCTTAGACAGAAACCACAAAAAAGAAAACTGACAGAAGAAAGCCAAGGCCACTTGCTGTGTCGCTACATCAACACATTTCTCTTTGACATAGAAAGACATCCTGTTTGTTGTTGGCTGCCCTTGCCCCCTCCCCTGTGTGGGACATTGATGGAGACAATGTCCCACATGTCCCCTGGATGAACTGAGAAATTTTGCAACACATTTTTCTAGGGGCCTACAAGTTACTGTACTTTACTGATTTTTTTATTGTGTCAAGGAAGACATTTGTAGAGTTATATGTGTGCAATGTGTCTATATTTCTAATTCACTCTTTAAGAAGATGTATATTCTGGACAGTAATCATGATGAAGGTTTCTTTAGTCATTTCTGTCCCATTTCTGAGACAAAACATCAAATCAATTTTGAATTTAATTTAAAACATATCAATCATTTGTTGTAATCTGTGAGTATTTAAATTGAAGTACTTAACTTAAACAACTAATAAAACCAAAACCCTTGGGGAATACTAATATAAACTACCCTAAATTATTCTGTATTGTTCAGTCACACATACAGTAAATAAATCATTTATGTCAGTGAAACCAGCATATACAAATACAGCAAAATAATGTTATAGCACAACATATTCAAAACTTTTCACAATTCACAACATTATTATGCAACATAATGATACATTACTAGAACAAAGGATGGAGGATGTGAGCAGCGAACAGACTGTGGTCACATCTGGTTTGGAATAACCAGGTGATTAAATGACATTAGGGATCTAAAATGAATCATAATTTTATAAATGTTCAGAAGTTTTGCAATTGAATACTAAATAAAATAATCACATGGGATCATTTGTTAATGGATAATATATATCATCTACTCCTTCTGGATGCTCTAACTGAAGTTTCCACTGAAGCTCTTCTCTCTGTCTCTTCCAGGTATTTATTTATTTGCTTCTTATCCTTCTCTAGTTTCCATTTCCTCTCTGTCATTCTCATTATCAGGTTACAGTCTCTCTGTGTTCTGTATTTCTCCTGTCTAGATTCTTTATGGTCTTTTTGCTTTTGTCCGTTTTTGGTTTCATCTCCAGCTTCTTCTTGTGCTGTATCTGTGTCTTGTCCTCCTTCTGTAGTGAGATGAGTTTCTCTCTCTGGTTCAGATAATGTTTCATTTATTTCCTCTTCTCTCTCTGACTGCGCTGCCTTGAAGTCTCCTCTTCTCTCTGTCTCTTTCAGATTTTTATTTATTTGCTCTTTATCCTTCTCTAGTCCTATCCTAGTCCTACTATAACATTTTAGAATTTTTGTGATTGAATATTAAATAAAATAATCACATGGGATCATTTGTTAATGGATAATTTATATCATCTACTCCCTCTGGATGCTCTAACTGAAGTTTCCACTGAAGCTCTTCCAGGTATTTATTTATTTGCTCCTTATCCTTCTCTAGTTTCCCTTTCTTTTCTGTCTTTCTAATAATTAGATTGTGTTCTGTAGTTAGTTATACATACATTTAGCTGACCACCAGAGGATGGTGTTTTCAATCTAAAGGAAACAACTAAGTATGTGTGGACAAAAGATTAAATCTGAGTCAAATTAAATTTAAAACATAATAATCATTCATTATTCTGTGAGTATTTATTATTAACTTTAACAATTAATTAAACAACTCTTCTGTATTGTTCAATCAAACATACAGTAGAATTAATAATTTATGATGACATCATATACAAATACAGCAAAACTTATTATTATTTTTATGCAACATAATAATACACAAATGCATTACTATATAACAAATAATAGAGGCTGTGAGCAGAGAACATAGTGACTGAACACATCATGTTTGGAATAATCCGGTAGATTGATTAAACTGATAATATTAGGGATCTAAAATCAATCATAGTTTTATAAAATTTTAGAATTTATGTGATTGAATATTAAATAAAATAATCACATGGGATCATTTGTTAATGGATAATTTATATCATCTACTCCCTCTGGATGCTCTAACTGAAGTTTCCAATGAAGCTCTTCCAGGTATTTATTTATTTGCTCCTTATCCTTCTCTAGTTTCCCTTTCTTTTCTGTCTTTCTAATAATTAGGTTGTGTTCTGTAGTTAGTTATACATACATTTAGCTGACGCTTTTATCCAAAGCGACTTACAATTGCTATATATGTCAGAGGTCGCACGCCTCTGGAGCAACTACAGGTTAAGTGTCTTGCTCAAAGACACAATGGTGGATGGGTCACGGGTCTCTCACACCAAAGGAATGTGTCTTATCCATTACGCCACCACCACCCTCTGTTACAGTGTCTTGTGTTCTCCTGTCTAGATCCTTTATGGTCTTTCTACACTTCTTCATTATTTTGCTTTTGTCCATTTTTGGTTTCATCTCCAGCTTCTTCTTGTACTGTATCTGTGTCTTGTCCTCCTTCTGTAGTGAGATGAGTTTATCTCTCAGGTTCAGATAATGTTTCATTTATTTCCTCTTCTCTCTCTGACTGCGCTGCCTGAAGTTTCCTCTGAACCTCTTCTCTCTGTCTCTCTGTCTCTTTGAGGTATTTATTTATTTGCTCTTTATCCTTCTCTAGTTTCCCTTTCCTTTCTGTCATTCTAATAATCAGATTGTCTGTTGTCTCCAATAGTTCCTCTGTGTTCTTTAACAGTTCCTCGTGTTCTGTCGCCCTCTTCTCCAGAAACTCTTTGGTCATTTCACGCTTCTTCTTTTTTTTGTGTTTGTCTGTTTTTGGTTTTGTCGTCAGCTTCTTCTCATACTCTTGTATCTTGATCTTGTCCTCCTGCTGTAGTGAGATGAGTTTCTCTCTCTGGTTCCTCAGATCTTTCTTCTGCTCCGTCAGTGTTGTAATCAACTGTTGCACATGTTCCAACTCTACCCCATTCTTCTCAAACTCCTCATCAAGTTTTGCCTTTGTCTTGTTCAAATACTTCATTTTCTCACTTTCTGTCATGAGCTGCTCTCTTTCTCCCTCCATCAGAAGTTGAAGTTCTGTGCTGTTGCCAAATGTTGTGATCCAAGTCTTTTTTTCTCCAACTTCAGTCTCACCCTCATGGTGCCACTTGGTATCTATGTGAATAGAAAAGTTGTGTGTTTAGTTTAAAGTTCAAACCTGTTTTATTGATGCTGTGTTTCCCTTTGATAATAAATTGTTTAAAGGGGACGTAACAGAGAAGCACATTAGAAATGTGATGGCATTTAAGGTATAGCTACAAAACCACACATTTGCTTAATTTGGCAGAATTATGAAGCATTTCATTCTCAAAAAAAAAGAAAATGGGGGATAAAGTCAAATAAGCAACAGTGAGGCTTAGCTAAAGAGATGTTAAAGCAACTTGAGGTTTGAAAAGAAATGTGACTTACTGATTTTGTTTTGTCCCCATTTCCACAAAATAAAGACAACTGCAACAACAGACATGATGCACACAGCCAAGCAGATGGTGATCCGAACAGCAAAACTAGACTGGACCATGAAGAGTTCAGCTGTAATTATAAAAGATATGTTTATAAAACTCGATTTCATTTGTCTGTAACTGACAAAGTGATGGCCTCAAAAACATTTTTCCTACCTGGAACCTGGATGTGAGTGTCTCTGATCTGGTTGATGTCCTTCTGTTGGACTCTACAGGTGAAGCTGTTGTTGTGTCTCTTCTCCACAGTCACTCTGCTGCTGACAGTATAGAGGTCATCAGGACCTCTGACTGTCTCTGTAGGTCCAGCAGAGAGGAGGTTTCCCTCACCGTCCAGCCAAAACGCCTCAGGCTCTGGATAGCAGCCTTTAGATTTACAGTCTAACATCACTCCTTTGCTGACTGTAGAAATGTTTATTTCAGGGGATGATACTGAACCTAACAGAGAGCAGAAATGTTGTTTTAATGTAAAGTTGCCACAAGAATGAAAATGCAGAACTTCTTCAGTGAGCCTGATGATTCAAGTTAGACACTAGCTCAAGTTCAAGTGTCCATTAGATCAATCCAAAAGTCCCTCTATCCATTCCCCTCGGCCCAAATACTAAGGACCTTTGGCTGTCTCTCCCAGTCCAGCAGAGAGGAGGTTTCCCTCACCGACCTGCCAAAACACCTCAAGCTTTGATCAGATGCGTTACCATGCTACCAAAACATTTTTCACATTCACGTGCTTTAATTTTCACTCCCTTATGCAGAGAAATGTTGCAGTATAAAGCCTGGCTGCTATTAAGAGAGCTGCAACACTCTCAGACTGAAGTGGACAAAACACAGTACAGTGGAGAAAAAGATACCGATTACACACATCCTGAGCCGATCTCATAAATCGGTATCGAGGATCAGCCCCAATAATGATCTATAAATAAATGTTAAAATTAACACTTATTAACACTTGCGACTTACCAAAGAACAGCTCCACAGTTGAGTCTCTGTTCAATATGGGAACAAAGCACCTGTATGTTCCCCTGTCAGACAGCTTGACTTTGGAGAGTTTCAGTGAAATGTCTCCGTCCTGCAGTTTCTTGTTGAACAGCGATGTTCTTCCTCTGTAGGATGGATGCTGGTCATCTAGAAGTTCTTGACCAGAACGTTTCACGTGGACAAATCTGGGTTTCAGGTCAGGTCTCGACCACTCCACAGCTGTGGAGGCAACGTCCATAGCAGGTTCCAGGTGACATGGCAAAATGATGTCATCACCAACGACTGCCAGGATTGGCTGACGTGGAGCAATTACTTGAGACTGACCTGGGAAGAAGTGGCATTATTTTATACTGGCAGTAAGAGCTAAAGAAATTCACTTCTTTAAGGCTCAGTGTCGATTGCGTCGTTTACACTGGCTACACCATGACAGCAGCCTCAGAAAGATCTCAGAAAGACCCTGGATCTAATTATCTATCATGCATTAAAGCCTCTTGAAAATAAAATGATATTGTTTAGTCCTCTGTCCAATCAGCAGCTTTACTCCACACTAAAATTACTCAGCATGCCTATATGTAGAGTAAGAATGAGAGGAGAGAGAGAGAGGAAGCACAATTATCAAGTGAAAATGTTGGGCTGAGCTAAGCCCCCAGTGTTTCAGGATCCTAACACCACCCCCAGCAGTTCTCAGTCCACACAATGAGTGAATATGTTAGTTACCTTTACAGCAGTGTGTTAGCAGAAGCAGTGCCATAGTGTGATGGAAAACCAAAACATTGAAGGTACAGAGTCGCGGTTTTGGGGAGCATCCATCCTTCAGACGAAACATCCTGGAGTTCTGAAAATCATACCACTTACCAGCTTGTTAAAATTACTTTCCAGGATGATCATGAAACATGTTCGTATGAATCAGCTGAAAGCTTTTTGTAGCTTTTGCAGCAGCAGCCCTGCTTGTAATACTTCAATCAATGTAAACACAAAACACTGTAAAAAGGTATTTTTCATTGTCAGTCTGCTGTAGCTCTCTTAAAATCTAATTTCGCCTTATAAATCTGAAAAATTTATGTAAAATATTCACGACTTTATAACATGATTTCACAGCAGTTTAACAATGATGTACTGAGGTGTCAAATCTCCTTATCCAGCTGGCCAAATAAATATAGTAAAAGAAAACATGAGGCAAGTACCTGTTTTACATGTTGCAACTCTTCCTCTTTCTTCTGTAACTTCTCATCAACTTTTGCCTTTGTCTTGTCCAAATACTTCATTTTCTCACTATCTGTTTGGAGCAGCTTGACGTCTCTTTCTCCCTCCATCAGAAGCTGAAGTTCTGTGGTGTTGCCAAATCTTTTGACCCTTGTCATTCTTTCTCCCACTTCAGTGTCTATAGGAATGTAAGGGTGTGTGTTTAGTTTAAAGACACGCTTTAGTTTTTAACCTTTTGTCTATGCACCGTTTCCCCTTTGCTGAGAAAGGATTTTAAGGGGACATGGCAGAGAAACACAGCAGAAAGGTGATAGCATTTAAAGAATAGCAAAAGACACGTTTGAATTGTGAAGCATTTTCATTCTCAATCTCCAGGAAAAAAAGGCCTAAAATAACAAACCCAAAAGAATCAGGAATAACTCCTCTACCATTAGGCCTACTGTATATGCATGCTATATCGTTTGATAGGGCAGGAGCTAAGAAAACATATGTATGTTAAGTAAATGGAGTAAATGGAGATGAAATAAAGAAAATTCCTTCCTGTTTAGCGTGATGTTACTAAGCAACACAAATGACAACAGCCTGAGGATCAAGATTTTATTATGTTTAACAGAAAAATGACTAATTACAGAGACATGTGCCATCCTGCTTATGCCATGGCCACTCGCATGGCATAAGCAGTATAATAACCGACAAGTTGTATGTGCTAAGATTGCAAAGGTCACGTCAGATCATTCCTCTTGGCCCTTCACTCTAAACATAATAAATAATAATTCAATGTAAAAATGGAAGATGTGAAAGTAACTTGAGGTTTGGAAAGAAGTATGATAAAGTTTCAACTTACTGATTTTATTTTGTCCCCATTTCCACAAAACAAAGACAACTTCAATAATGGACATGATGCACGCAGACAGGCAGATGGTGATATGAAGAGCAGATCTTGACTTGACCATGAAGAGATCAGCTGAAATGAAATGAAATGAAAAAACACAACAGATGAGTTTATAAAACTTGACTTCAACTGTCTGTAACTGACAAAGTGAAGACACTAATAACTCATAAGTAATTGTCTAACCTGGAATATAAATGTTAGTGTCTCTGATCTGGTTGATGTCCTTCTGTTGGAAGCTGTTGTTGTGTCTCTTCTCCACAGTCACTCTGCTGCTGACAGTATAGAGGTCATCAGGACCTCTGACTGTCTCTGTAGGTCCAGCAGAGAGGAGGTTTCCCTCACCGTCCAGCCAAAACACCTCAGGCTCTGGATACCAGCCTGCAGACTCACACTGTAACACCACTCCATTACAGACTGTAGAAATGTCTGTTTCAGGTGATGGTGCAGAACCTAATAGGGAGCAGAAATGTCAAAAGTTCTTTGAATGTAAAGTTGACAGACGAAAAAAGGAAATAGAGCAGTTCTTCAAAGAGCCTGATGAGTTCAACTTAAACACTGAACCTATTATACACCTTAACGACCGAAAGTACTTTCGTTAGTGAGGATAAATCACCCGCTTCAACACACTGGTTTACTTGGGTTGTGAAACCCATTTCTCTGTAACAACTCTGTAAAAACAAGATAACATGTAAAGTAGATGACCTGATGATTCTTTTCAATACACACAGCAGTCTTACGTTGATGAATGCAACTTGCGTGAGTGAAGTACTTGCCAAATACTATCTTGAAAATCTGTTTCATGACCCTTGTAAACCCCTGATGTCAACAGGGCCACTATGTACAAAAGCAAATACAATATATATATATATATATAACAATTAAAAGAAGCTGTTCAATTTTGTCTCTCACCTTTGTTTTTGAATATGTCCCTACAAAAAAGATTGTAAGGCGACAGCTCTCTGACATGAACTTTTGCCTTTGATTGACGGGGTTCAGACAAAGGTTTTGAAATTTGTGATCTTTTGTAATTACCGATCCAGTTCTGAAAAACAAAAACAAAAAATAACGATAGAGTATTACACCAATTAAACAGTATTTTAACAAAATACTTCATTTTTAGAAGCAGTGCAGCAGAATGATATATTTATTTGACATGTTGTTTGTTAGTGTGGCACTAAAGTAAAACTTACTTCTATGACACTGGTGTCCAAACCAGTAGCAGATGCAGCACTTGGAATTAATTTTGACCCAACTCGTGTCATTCCATGCGTAAAAAAGGATTTCAGGGTTTCCTTTTGATTCCCATTAATGGGAGTTCTCTCTTGTTGAATAACAACAAAGAAAGAAAAATCTAGTCAGTTATAAATCAGTAATAAAAAAAGACAGTGTTGCAGATCATACCATCGTTCTCAGACACACTTGCCTAATGCTTCTAGATTAGCAACTGCAAGGCTTACCTCTCTGGGCCATCTTCAACCTAAAACAGAAACAGAAAAACTTGCACAAGACAGATTTGTGAACGGGCCCTTCTCTCTAAAAAGGCCAAAACCAAATTTTAGATTGTTCAACAAAGAGATAGAGCATGGAAGTAATAAAACAAACTTAGCCTACCACAGAAGTCCCTCAATCCACTGGAAATTGATGCTGTGGGAGACAAAAAAGTTAGGTAAAGATATATTAATGTTACACACACAGGCAGGCAGATAGATAAATAGACTTTTTTTTTCAAGTTCAATGTCAAGGACAGCAATAAATGTGACACACACAGACACCACAGTCTATATTTACTTCTAATAGATTCCTAATATTCGTCTTTTGCATGAATGTCATTGTAAGCTACCTCGTGTGGGATCAAATCCATCCAAGCTTTTTTCAAACCCACAAAACTTTATTTTACATTCTAGTCAAGATCCCAAGATACCCAAACAGCCATAAAATACGTCATGGGTTTAATATTTCACTCATAAGTCAACAGGAGTAAGGTTAGGCCTATGATGGGCGTTAACGAGCATACAATATTATGCAATAAGCCTTACAGTGTGGAAAAAAAAAATTTTACAGGCTAACTTTGCGTTTAACTAGAAACTAAATTTCCCCATTAGCTTCATACGTAAAAACATGCTTATTAGCAACGTTAATGCTCAAATAAAGCAAGTAAGTAACGTAATGAGCCTATATAACGTTTACAAAATAATCGCAATACGCTTATCTCATGTCAACACTCATGTCACGCAACATTAAAACACATTTTATGTATTGTTTTCCCTTATTGACTAATTAATTTCCGTTAAAATGCTCGGTTTTATCATTTAAATGTTCTTACCTGAAAATATCAAGCGCGAAATATTGCAACGTTGCTGCGTCATTCAGTAGACCTCCGATTACCGGCGAGCTGGATTCCTCTGGTATTGGATCTGGAGTCTTCTCTTGTATTTGTCGGTGATTAACCATGTCGATGGATGATAACAGCCTTCTGAGCCTACCAGTAGGCGCAGCAGGCCCCTGCTGGCCCATATATATGAGCTGATAACCACTGATAACGCCCATTCAATCGAGTGATAACATTCGAAGCGGGTGGATAAATGTCCATATTTGATAAAAAGGTTTAAAACCATGACGTTTATACTAATAAAGACAATTCAATGTCTTATTTCTTATTTCAAAGACTACATGTTACACTCAAAATACACAGAAGATCTGGTGGACTTATCAAATGTAAGAAGAAAACGTGGGTTGTGAAATTGATTGTAGGCCCATAGTCGATGTTGTGGTAGCACTTTATAATATAAAGCAGTTATAAAGTTGTTTTTGTAGTTGTGCGGTATCACATGACCAGTACATAACAGTATTTTTTTTTATTATTATATTTAAACTCAAACCAAGGGCTTTTACCATCTTTTTGGGAGTCATTTACCTCCACAAGAGTGTGTCAGGAGAATGAGGACGGCAGCATGATGCAAGACCATTGAACTCAAGTTATTGACCTCATGTTTGAAGGGGAGTCTGGCTTTTATATGAATCATCCTGGAGTTCTGTAAATAAAAATATATGCAAGGTGAGCTAGCTGGGAGTCTATTATAATGAAAGTCAGTGTAAATGCTTTTTTAATACTCTAAAGCTTTGTGAAATAATGTTTTTTTAGTAACTTCTATTAGTAACTTAAACTAATTAATACAGTCAAACAAAGCAGTTACGATAAGAGCAAAGATAGGACATGTGAAATATGTGGAAACACAAACTAAACTGAATTATATATTATATAATAAATAATATAAAAAAATAAATTGTGGGGAAAAAAAACTTCAAAGATTTTCCACTTATTCCAAATTATCTTTTTCCCCATATACATTATGGCTCAGTTTATTAAACCACTCGTTTACCTTTTTTAAAATCACTTCTGGTATTCAAAATGCAATGCTTTGTCTATAACGTTTACAAAATGTAACAACAGACTTCAACGTCATTTTACGTGTTAAGCAACTGGCTGGTGCTCCAAAACTCACGGGTGTATGAAAAAATATTGCAGATGAAGACTGCAGTTTCACTTTCAATCTAGAGACAGGATATAAATAATTACAATAATGACATGTTAAAAAGTGAAATCCCTAAAATAATCTATTAAACATAAGTATACATACCTGTTGTGTATCTGTGTTAATGAGTCGCCTCACCTCAGGGGGAAAAAAGGCTGTCCGGTCCAGAATGAGACAGCGTGAAATAAAACCATGTGTTCTTTCACCCCAGCCCTCTATAATTGTCAGGACATGGCAGGATGATTTTAACTGATGCATTCACGGGAAACAAGGTAGTCCAACAAAAGCCTGAAATCTGAAAAGAGGAATATAACATCCAAAATCCAAAACAGTAAAACAAACAATCCTCCAGGCAGGTGAAAATGAAATAATCCAGGAAAAACGTAGACAGCGAACAGATGGGCAGAGCTACTGACAGACGAGAAGAACTGGTAAATGCAGAATAGGAATGATAAGATTGCATACTGACACACACACACACACACACAGCAAGAAGGGCATGCTGTCAAGGATTAAACAAACCAGAAAGCTATACAAAGACAGGCAGGGAGGTAACAAGACACGAAAAAAAACATCTGACAGATGATTTCAAAATAAACCAGGCAAACAGACAAGCTGCGGACTTACCATCAGGAGTACCGTGAGATATCCTGGTGGGACCCTGGACAATTGGCCCAATAAACCACATAGTATTAAACTGCAGTTTAATAACTGATTGGTATGTGCCTTGTGTCACGGCTGGTGACAGGACTCAGATGCAGACCGGAGTGAGGTGTTCAAACAAAGGGAATATTTATTAGTTTTGATAGTTTTGCACAAACACAACGTGGGATTGGGGTTGATTGGGATTGGGATGATTTACAAATGGGCCAGTGAGGAGAGTTCGGGTTCCGGTGCTCTGGTAGCAGGCAGAACTGAGTCTGGGCTCTGGGCTGATTGTTTGAGGTAGTGACAGAGAGAGGGAATTATCCAGAGCATGAGGGGAGAGCCCTGCGATGGACTGGCGACCTGTCCAGGGTGTACCCCACCTTTCGCTCAATGTCAGCTGGGATTGGCTCCAGCCCCCACGACCCTGTACGCAGGATAAGCGGCTGACAATGGATGGATGGATGAGGGGAGAGCAGAACACAGAGACAGACACCAACCTGAACACACCTATCATTCAGCACACAAAAAGGACTAGAGAAGACACAAAAACACGTTCCCACACATCGTCAAACTATACACTTACTCAAGTATTTTTGGGCCAGTAAAACTACATTAAACTTTGTTACATTTGCCCTTTATACCTTCATTACTTTACAAGTCTGTTATCTACTGTGCATTTTGCTTCATTAACTGATTTAAAAGCGTATTTAGTCTCTGCAGTACAAATGCACTTTATACACTGTAACATCTAAGTTAGAAGATTGTTGATTAACAGAATCATCTCCTTGCACAGAGCAAGGCTTTCTGATGGGAATTAGCCTGTTTATTTTGTTTTCTCTTCTCTAGTTCACATTGGTTGGTATTTGTTTTAGCAATGTCAAACGTTTAATAATTTATCCGAATGTCACCGGGGAAACTGATCTTGGCTTTCACTCAGCATATTATTATTATTATTTATTCAGGAAACAATATGTTTTGAGATGCATATATAGGGAAAGAGCAATTAAGGGTGGACACAACAGTCCTCTCGGACTTTAAGCGCACAGGTCTCCCTTTATTCATTTGTATGCTAATTCAACAACAAGCTGCTGTCGTGTTCTTGCTACAATAATTCAGTGCTTTGTTAAGATTATGTGTATAGATGCTTCAGGAATAATCATTTTGTATTGGGTGCCTGAGCTATTGGGAGAAGGCAAATCATATGCAGCACCCTTCATATCAAAGCAAGTGGTTTGGTTTGCTACATGTTCCTTCTGAAAGCAAGTGCCTAGCCTATTTACTATTAAGTAAGTGATCTTACCTTCATCTAGACTGAAAAAAATTGTCTTAAACAGAAATAGCTTAATTAGAGAAAATAAACAAGCAAAGCAAAGTGCACTCCCTAGATATAACCATGCTGCACAGCAACTTAATATTACATAAAGAGTAGTTTATAAACTAACAATCTATGAAGTGTTTTTTTTAATCTCTTAGGATTAGGATGTGCACGTTTGAGTATTTATTATTCACCTTTATGTTTTACAGTAAAGCTCTAGAATAGATGCAGCGATTTTAGATGTTGTTGGTACAACTGCCAAACTGAACAATACAAAAGACTGAACCACAGTGAATAGTGAGTTTACAGGTAACTGAAAGCCAATTTGTTCACTAAGACAAATATAAATTATCTTGCATTGCAGTATTAAGCATCCCTTCAAACGGTTCATATGATAGTTTAGAAAGGAGCATAACCACTTGTGAACATCCTGTATCACTGCCTTTTTGTATTTAGTCAGCGCACACACACACACACACACACACACACACACATACACACACACCTCCACAAACTATATTCAGTTAGTGTCTCAGTAAAAACATGACTGACAGATAAAAAGAAAAGAAAAATAAAATTTAACCAGAGGAAAAAGTTATTTGTCTTAACACTGCAAAACATTAAACAAAGGCAACATTTTCACTTCTATATAAAAACATCAAAACAATAAAACACCAGCAACAGCAAGTTCAAAAACGTCTTATTTGCACATTTTTGTTGGGATCAGATTTTCCTTTAAATTGGGAATCTTTGAGGAAACTCTGATTTCACCACGAGAGGATGGTGTTTTCAATCTAAAGGAAACAACTAAGTATGTGTGGACAAAAGATTAAATCTGAGTCAAATTAAATTTAAAACATAATAATCATTCATTATTCTGTGAGTATTTATTATTAACTTTAACAATTAACTAAACAACAACTCTTCTGTATTGTTCAATCAAACATACAGTGGAATTAATTATTTATGATGACATCATATACAAATACAGCAAGACTTATTATTATTTTTATGCAACATAATAATACACAAATGCATTACTATATAACAAATAATAGAGGCTGTGAGCAGAGAACATAGTGACTGAACACATCATGTTTGGAATAATCAGGTAGATTGATTAAACTGATAATATTAGGGATCTAAAATCAATCATAGTTTTATAAAATTTTAGGATTTTTGTGATTGAATATTAAATAAAATAATCACATGGGATCATTTCTTAATGGATAATTTATATCATCTACTCCCTCTGGATGCTCTAACTGAAGTTTCCACTGAAGCTCTTCCAGGTATTTATTTATTTGCTCCTTATCCTTCTCTAGTTTCCCTTTCTTTTCTGTCTTTCTAATAATTAGGTTGTGTTCTGTAGTTAGTTATACATACATTTAGCTGACGCTTTTATCCAAAGCGACTTACAATTGCTATATATGTCAGAGGTCGCACGCCTCTGGAGCAACTACAGGTTAAGTGTCTTGCTCAGGGACACAATGGTGGATGGGTCACGGGTCTCTCACACCAAAGGAATGTGTCTTATCCATTACGCCACCACCACCCTCTGTTACAGTGTCTTGTGTTCTCCTGTCTAGATCCTTTATGGTCTTTCTACACTTCTTCATTATTTTGCTTTTGTCCATTTTTGGTTTCATCTCCAGCTTCTTCTTGTACTGTATCTGTGTCTTGTCGTCCTTCTGTAGTGAGATGAGTTTCTCTCTCTGGTTCAGATAATGTTTCATTTATTTCCTCTTCTCTCTCTGACTGTGCTGCCTGAAGTTTCCTCTGAACCTCTTCTCTCTGTCTCTCTGTCTCTTTCAGGTATTTATTTATTTGCTCTTTATCCTTCTCTAGTTTCCCTTTCCTTTCTGTCATTCTAATAATCAGATTGTCTGTTGTCTCCAGTAGTTCCTCTGTGTTCTTTAACAGTTCCTCGTGTTCTGTCGCCCTCTTCTCCAGAAACTCTTTGGTCATTTCACGCTTCTTCTTTTTTTGTGTTTGTCTGTTTTTGGTTTCGTCGTCAGCTTCTTCTCATACTCTTGTATCTTGATCTTGTCCTCCTGCTGTAGTGAGATGAGTTTCTCTCTCTGGTTCCTCAGATCTTTCTTCTGCTCCGTCAGTGTTGTAATCAACTGTTGCACATGTTCCAACTCTCCCTCATTCTTCTCCAACTCCTCATCAAGTTTTGCCTTTGTCTTGTTCAAATACTTCATTTTCTCACTTTCTGTCATGAGCTGCTCTCTTTCTCCCTCCATCAGAAGCTGAAGTTCTGTGCTGTTGCCAAATGTTGTGATCCAAGTCTTTTTTTCTCCAACTTCAGTCTCACCCTCATGGTGCCACTTGGTATCTATGTGAATAGAAAAGTTGTGTGTTTAGTTTGAAGTTCAAATCTGTTTTGTTTACACTGTGTTCCCTTTGCTGAGCAAACATTTTAAGGTCTTTAAAGCATAGCTACAAAAACCCATTTTTGCTTTGCTGGGCAGAAATATTAAACAATTTAAACGTTTAAATGTTTAGTCAACTGTCAAAGTTTCTTAAAAACATAAATTGTAAAAGAATAACATTTGAACAGCAACAGTGACGCTTACCTAAAGAGATGTATGTTATTTGTGTAACCACTAACAACAATTTTGAAGAAGCCAAAAGAAAGATGCTTTTAGTTGAGAACCACACAAGTTTAATGTTGAAATGTTTGATATTTGTGTGAAACTGGACGTACAAATCAGCTCTATCTTAAATAATATTTAGCTGCAGCCTGTGGGTCTGAGGGACAGCTGAAGCGGAAGAAAGACGAAAAAGTATATCAAAGTTAAATGAGTAAATTAACTGATACTTGGTATTGGAATTTGGTTCATGTGGCATTTGGGAAGTGCATATACACAGAATAATACCAAACAAGCTGTACTCTCCCTGATTTCAATGGATGATGCTAAGATCACATTGGCCTTCTCGGCGCTTAACTCTAAACATAATTAATGTAAAAATAATTGTAAAAGAGATGTGAAAGTAACTTGAGGTTTGAAAAGAAATGTGACTTACTGATTTTGTTTTGTCCCCATTTCCACAAAATAAAGACAACTGCAACAACAGACATGATGCACGCAGCCAAGCAGATGGTGATCCGGAGAGCAAAACTAGACTGGACCATGAAGAGTTCAACTGTAGTTGTAAAACACACAATAGATGTGTTTATAAAACAAAACTTCAACTGTCTGTAACTGACAAAGTGATGACATCAAAAACTCATAAGCCTTTTTTCCTACCTGGAACCTGGATGTGAGTCTCTCTGGTCTGGTTGATGTCCTTCTGTTGGACTCTACAGGTGAAGCTGTTGCTGTGTCTCTTCTCCACAGTCACTCTGCTGCTGACAGTATAGAGGTCATCAGGACCTCTGACTGTCTCTGTAGGTCCAGCAGAGAGGAGGTTTCCCTCACCGTCCAGCCAAAACACCTCAGGCTCTGGATACCAGCCTTTAGATTTACAGTCTAACATCACTCCTTTGCTGACTGTAGAAATGTCTATTTCAGGTGAGGAGACAGAACCTAACAGAGAGCAGAGATGTCAAAAATAGTTTGAATATAAAGTTGCCAAAAGAATAACAATTAGAGCACTTCTTCAATGAACCTAATGAATAAAGTTCAGCTTAGGCCACACTGTTTATTCTCTAATAAAGACATCTCATTTCCCCCCTACTCCTTCTAGTTGGCCACATGGTCAATCCAACCCTGTCTTTATTCTTTTTTCATCTGGTCAGTCTAAATGCCTTTCAAATTTATTATATATTTATTATATATTTTATTATATAATATATAAATATATAACTAACTATATTATATATAGTTATTATATATCAATGATTATTTGCAGATGATACAAACATATTTCTAAACATAAAACTACATTCATGGTATTTGGAAACTGTAAGTAAAATCATCAAGCACAGATACAGACAGAGGGTGTTAACATAGAAAGAGTGCATGAAAATAAATTCCTTGGAGTGATCATAGATGACAAGATTTGCTGGAAGCCTCATATAAAAACACATCAAAACCAAACTGTCCAGAAGTATTGCAGTCCCAGCAAGAGCTAAGCACATTCTGGATCTTAAATCACTTCACATCCTTTACTGTTCACTATTGCTACCTTATTTGAATTACCGTCTAGAGGTTTGGGGAAGCACGCACAAAAAAGAGCCATGATAATCATTCACAATATCGGATTTCGGGATCACACAAATTCATTATTTCTACAGTCTAAATTGCTAAAATACCAAAATCTAATTGCAGTATTCATGTTCAAAGCAAGAAATAGCCGATTGCCTGTGAATATAAAAAGTTGTTCTCTGAGAGGGAGGGAGGGTACGATTTAAGGGGAAGGGGAAATTTTAAGACTAATAGGTTTAGAACAACAAGGAAAAGATTATGTTTATCAATTTGCATATTTAAATTGCCGAATAAACTAAATGAGAACCTAAAGCAATGCCCAAACATATTGCTTTTCAAAAAAATGTACAAAGAAATTATTTTCAAGATTTATCGAGAAGCACTGTAGTAAAAGTGCTCTTTTACAACAGTTTTTTTTTTTTTGTTGTTGTTATATTTTTTGCTTGGCCGTTAATCGGAAGGTCGGCGGTTCAATCCCCAGCTCCCCTCCTCATGTCGAAGTGTCCTTGGGCAAGATACTGAACCCCGAATTGCCCCTGGCGGCTGTTCCACCAGTGTATGAATGTGTGTGAATGTTAGTTTCTGTTTGAGCACTTAGGCTCAATGATTGTGTGTGAATGGTGAATGCAGATGTACTGTAGTGTAAAAGCTCTTTGAGTGGTCGAAAAGACTAGAAAGGCTGCAGTTTAAGTTTGTTAGACACACTAGGTTTAGGTTAGCTGCTCATTTTGTATTTTGTTTCTTGCTGAACAAGTCAGAGAGTTTAGTTTATTTTGATTTTGAGTTAGCATGTGGCTCTAATTTTGGAAAGACCTCTTTAAGTTAAATTTGTTTCTTTGATTTAAGCAGCATCCACCAGCCCTTTTTCCGTTCTTTTTTAAATCCTGCAAATAAACAACTTGCACTTTTACCAAAAACATTCCGGTTCATGTTGCGTCCCTTTCCCCAAGAGCCGGGTCGTAACAGAGCACTAAAGCAGAACATAACCTTCATGCTGTAGAGTCTGTGCTTATCGCTTCATCAGATGTAGTGTGCTGTTACTCATCCAGCAGGTTTGCCAAATCAGTGTCTGAGGGCGTGACCAACTGTTTCCTGTTGTCAACCAGCTAACACATATGATGTTATCCGGCATTCTAAACCCTTCTTACAATATTAAACACCCATATATACATTTCTGTAGCTCAGGACTGACCCGTGGGAACATTGGCGGTTGCCTAGGGTGCAACACCGGTGTACCCAGTGATAGTAATTAAGTGCATCTCGCACTGTGAGCCCAGACAGTTTGTGACGAATGGTAACGTAACTGGTAGGGTGAGATTTCTGCCTGTCAGTTGGTTTCGGTTTCACATGCTGCATGCAGTCCCAAATTGTGTCGGGTCATAAGGGGATATTAACATCGGAGCAATAACATAGCCTAAAACACTGAGGAGTAAGTTAGTGAACAGTGGATTAATGCAAACTTACCTACAGCAAGATTGACCCCAGAATCTGTACCAGATGTGGGGACGAGGCACCTGTATGTTCCCGCATCAGAGAGCTTCACTTTGGAGAGTTTCAGTGAAATGTCTCCACGCTTGAGTTTGTTGACGGACAGTGATGTTCTCCCCAGGTACGATGGATGCTCCTCAAACAAAAGCTCCACACCATCTCGCCTCAAATGGACAAATCTGGGTTCTAGGTCAGGTCTTGCCCACTCCACAGTGAGATCAGCAGCATTGACAGCAGGTTCGAGGTAACATGGCAAAATGATATCATCACCAACCATCGCCACTATTGGCAGAGATGGAGCAGTCACCTGAGACTGACCTAAGGGGGCAAAAAATCTGTTTTTAATTCCTATTTATACTCACTGGGACTACAGTATGTAGCTGGCTATCTAACTTCGGCTGAAACCCTGTCCTTGTTACCCTTCAGCATACAGTGTCAAGGGCAGCAAGCATGTACAAGAGCTGGTGTCAGCAGCAGCTTAAGTGTAATTTATACTTCTGCGTCAAATCAACAACGTAGCCTCTGCATAGCCCCCTGCCCTACGGCGTCTCCTACAGCGTAGCCTGACGTGCACCTCCTCAAAAATGTACCTACACGTCAAGTCGACACGAACCGTAAGCTCTGTGATTGGTTGGCTAGGTAGCCTCGCAATGCCTCCATGCCGACAGGAAGTGCCCGTGCTTTGAAGTAACTTTTACTAGTGGCCAAAACAGCGGCTGTAACACGGTGGCACAACATATTTGACCGTCACAACCCGAGCAAAATCATTCATTTCATTATCAGAATGTGATCCACTCAGTCGATAACATTTGAAAAGGCTACACCATCCGCACGTATACAATTTTACCCCCATTCATGTTGGCAGAGTGCTGAACCAGAAGTTAGCCTGCTCGGCCGGTTTGGTAGCTGGTCAGAAGACTGTAGTTAACAACTGTAATCAATGTAGATTACGTCTTTGTTTGTAAATTCTTGTTGACTTAATAATAAACCATTTCAGAGTTGGATCCATTTGTTTGGATGGAGAACAATGGAGAGAGGCGTTCTTTCCACCGCTGTAAGTACTGCCATTAGGCCTAGCCGTGTCACACTCAGAGACGCAAAGAACATTGTCTTCCATTATAAACTCTACGCAAACAGCAAGCATCTATTGAAGCAGCACAGCAATGTGAAACTTCAATCAATGTTTTTTGTTTTGTAAAAGCACTGAAACCTTCTCTTATAAATGCATGTGCAACAGTAATGTTAGCTTTAAAGTCGAAACACTTCAACAGACAGTGGCGTTAAAAAACATTATGCTTCGTAAACATCATACTCATTATCGAGAGGGACCTGCTTTGTTTTTAGTATTTTTAAATTGACTGATTGTATTTATAGCCCATATAATACAGCGTCCCCTGGTCTGAGAGGCTGCAGTGTTTTCAGTTAGGCTAGTTGTTGACTCCTCAGGTTTGTCATTGTACCACTAAAGTGGATTCATTTCTAAAATGTGCAGCTGAACAGGTTTCTTCTCACTTTTAAGGATGGGGTGCAGTGGTTGAAAGTAAGTGTAACATAATGAATAATGTGACTATTTACTTTTAATACCCAGTAATAAGTAAAGTAATATTTTTACTTTTTTAATGATTAATAATAAAAAGTAACTCATTACAATTTCTTTCTTTAATTTGCCCAACACTGCTGCTAGATATGACGTATAAGCTGATGTGCCACATAGACATAGTGCTGCTTTCTGCCGCCTTGTTGCGTGCCCATCGCTGTGATGACGTTGCACCAAATCCCGTCTGTACTGTTTTGTAGTAGTAGTAGTAACTGTCTCAGCAGTGAGCCCATACAGTTACAGTATGCCCCGAGGGGATAACAGGTCCCAGCCAGAACAGCTGAAATATTTGTCACACAGTGTTACAGAGAGTTTAAGGTTATAAAGCTTCCTTTTATATGGGCGACTGTTAGTTTGGAAATATATAAAAGCTTTTTGTCATGTCAGAGTGTGAGCAAATGGCTAAAAAAGTATTTCTTATGAATTCAACTTTTCATTTGTAACATGATTATTTCTTATTTCAAACATTACACTTTACACTCAAAATACACAGAATCTTGTGGACTTCTTTACTTTAAGAAGAAAACATGGGTTGAAAATATGTTGTAAAATTTAACGCAGACCTTTAGTGTAAATTGCTTTTGTAGTTGTGTTGTATCACATGACCAGTATATTACAGTATAATTTTGTTAAACTATATTTAAACTGAAACCAAGGGCTTTCACCATCTGTTTGTGTGTAATTTACCTCTACAAGAGTGTGTTAGGAGAAGGAGGACGGCAGCGTGACACAAAACCATTGAACTGAAACCAATGACCTGTGGTCTCAAGATGAGGATCTCCTTTATGTAAGTCATCCTGGAGTTCTGTAAATAAAAATAAGTCAGAAAAATATGTGGGACCAGATTACCCCAGCCACTTATTTTAAAAACATAAAGCAGGAAAAACAACTTCAAAAACGTTCAACTTAATCCACAATTTCTGTTTCTTTTTATCTCATATGTTATAGCTCAGTTTATTCGCCCAATAATTTGTATTTATAAATCACTTTTGGTTTTCCATATGCAGTTTCTTTGTCTATAATGTTTACAAAATGTAACAACAGATGTCAAC